GAGGATTAATGACGCATTTGCCGCGATTAGAGAAAATGAAGAAGACATTAATAATGCGATAGAGTCAATTTTTGTTAGATGCCAATCCTGTATTCGTGATAACGGGCGTCATTTTGAAAATGTTATTACATTAAGAAGATCTACTGTTGTTTTGCTTAGTTTTTGTTGGATTTGTTAGCAAACACAGAGCTTCAATGAGGTTATGTGAGTTTCTGTAACGCTGATGATACACGTTCGTACGCTGTGTCGACGAAACGCCAGTTTATTATCATTCTTGTGTTATTAGTTATAAGTCCTTAATAAAACATTTAAGAGCATACGTTCATATAACATGCTTTTCCTTTGCTTGTAGAACACGCTGGCAAAGTTATGCCGGAAAAAACTGGGACACCCTGTACATGCATACATATGTACATACATGTATCTAGAATTCGAAATTCCGACTGCAACTCGTTCGTTGTTTTATTTTCGCCACCGAGGCGCTGTTCGCTCGTTTGCTTGTTTATTTCAGGGGAAAGAAATTCGAGTAATAAAAACATCCAATTGCAACGTACGTGTTCTTACATATTATTTACGTTACGTGTTTGATCATCTTCGATTCGAACACATTTTTGCGTAATTCTTTGTGGCTGGGCAAACAAATTTCGCAGTTCGATTCTTCTCCTTTTTTTTTTTTTTTTTTGAGTTATACCACGTTTGAAAGTTTGCCTCTTCAAATTGGAACTGGATTCACTCGCGTTTGTTGCGCTCTCTGTGAAATTACAACGTCCTCATTCACCTAACGTAGGGGGTCAACGTTAGACGTTAATCGTCGCCACATTGCATTTTATTCCCAATTCGTTACGGTCTCTCGCCTCTGAGACTGAGACATATTCAGTCGACAAACAACGTTATCATGAACCCGAACCCGAGAGCAAAGAGTGAATTTCTCTCACAGAGCGAGAGAAAGAGAGAGAGACGAGTCCTTGAGCAGTGTTCTCACCGAGGTGGTCAACGCGAACGTCGTGACCGCAGCGACTACCAGCGAAATACGTATGTAATTCGTATTTACATGAATACTGTACGGCAACGGTTGGACGTGACGAAGGCATTAGAGCATCAAATCGAATTAGCAGCGCGAATCGCTAACCGCATCAAGTCACTGTCGGCCACCTTGTGCACCCTCATCGGCGCGGTCGCGCCGCGGCGTCTGACTAATTCTATCCACCGTCCGGAGATAACTTGGTTCGCCCCTTTGTCCGTGTCCGGCCAGCAGCAGCGCGCGATCCGCGATTGGTTACCGCCGATTGACTAAACTTCCACTTCGTCAGTGTCCTGTCGTCGGCCCTCTCGTCTGTCGATCAAACGCGCGAATAAATAAGTTCTCTACTGCCGAGAGACACTTCTCCGTTCCGCGGTGAAAAACGAATTTGATCAGCATCGTTTATTAGCAATTAGCAACTCGATCAACGAGTAATTCGAATCATCAACTGGAGAGTTAGATTGGCTGAGGATTGTTTCGTACAGCGTGACGTGAAAGGCATACAGGTTTTGATTTGTGACGCTATGAATTAATCCTCTTGCATTATAAATTTGATTCTTTCGTGTTGATCAAATTTTTACCAATGATGTTCTGATCAAATCAAGTTTCTCTAGAAATTTTAGAATTTCTAAGAAAATTGAAATTCGAGTTATTGGTAAAGTTGTCGTCTCGAAATTGAAACATTGTCGCATGTATATAGTGGTACTTGAACGAAAAAAATAACATAAAGTTAAGTTGAAATATTTATTCAATGATAAATAAACATGATATACCTATTTAATAATAAAAATAATTTAACATAAAATACTTATATTTAATAATAAATTACATAAATCACATAAAATACCTGATTAATAATAATAAAAGTATATACATATTTACATAATAATTATGACAATCTGTGATAGTTGCAACAGAATGATTAATAACACTTAATAACTAACGTTGATTCGAAAGATATTTATTCAGTACAGAATTTAATTTTTGCAGAAACAATTAACTCTTCGATTGTCGTACGGCGTATCATAGTTCTCTTTTGAATCACCCACAAGGTGAATATGATCTGCAAAAGGGTTGATTTGGAATACCTGTAACAAAAATTAAGCGTAACTTTTCTTTTTCAATAAAAAGGATATTTCTTCAGTACAGAATTTAATTTTTGCAGAAACAATTAACTCTTCGATCGTCGTACGGCGTATTATAGTTCTCTTTTGAGTCACCCACAAGGTGAATATGATCTGCAAAAGGGTTGATTTGGAATACCTGTAACAAAAATTAAGCGTAACTTTTCTTTTTCAATAAAAAGGATATTTCTTCAGTACAGAATTTAATTTTTGAAGAAACAATTATGAATATGATCTGCAAGAGGGTTGATTTACAATACCTATAACAAAAATTAAGCGTAACTTTTCTTTTTCAATAAAAAGAACCTCGTTACATGGTACGCCGTAAAATTATGTGGACCGAATCAAGATGCTCTTCAAGTTGCACGCGTGATTTCGCGGGATAATTCCGGCCGATCGTGAAAGAAAATTGATTTCGATTTGATGCACGGCCCGATGTAAACGGTAATCAATCAAACGGATCACAATGCGAATCAGAACCGCAGTCAATGACATCGTGTGGATCGTCATCATCGTTGGCAACAATCGATTTTAACCTGATGCGGGCGACGTAGCGCGCGTTCCCTCCAGCTATGTGGCATTACGCCCCGCGCAGTAAAACGATTTCGCGTAGAAACGAAATAAAACGATTATCATTCTACGATCGAAACACGCCGTCGTTGACAACCGTGACAATCCGCCGATACGATTATCGCCGATAGTCACGGTACAATAACCTGTGCCACCGTACCCGTCGTTAACCGCGAACTGTCGAGAGTGTTACAACGTTGAATTTTCTAGATTGCGAATTGTTGAAAAAGAGAAAAAAGAAAAAAAGAGAAAAAGAAACGTGCGAATTTAATTAGGTCGATCGAGAAATACACGCTGATGAATTACGTGTTTCAGTTGGCAATAAATGCCAGAGGGGAGCGGGCTCGTCGGAGGGACGACGTGGCGAAGCATTTTTCTCTCGTCGGAGCGCGGACCATCGACTTTGTAATTGAACGTTACAGGTGTTCCCAGCACTCGAACAATGCCTGCAGATTGTTCAATAACTGCAACGAATGTACGTTTCGACGCGGTAAAGTCGTCCAAGATACGGGACAGGCCCGGCTGCCGCTGACAGGAACGCATTGCGCGTTTCACGGCCCCAGTTTAATTAAGCAATTATCACCGCTTATTACGGAAAATATCGACTAACGCTTCGCCGCGCTCGGCCAAAGAGAAACGGGCCTTCGTTTGTAATTCACGCTTATTGATCGGCGCATCTGGCTCGTTCTAACGTAATCGCCCGCGCAACAGACATAATCCTTGCGTCCCGTATTCGTGTAATACCACGTGTTACGTCACGCGTCACCGGTGAACATCGTGGATCCACTCTTTGCCAGTTTCTCGCGTTAAACGAACTGTTGAAAATCAAAATTTTCACATTTCATTCACGTGGTCATATTACAATTAGAAACGCTTCTACGCGTTTGTTTAAATTACGGGACATTTAAAGATACGAAATCACGTGGAATGCACGTACTGTAATAATGTAAAGTTCAATGCTTTTTATAATATTCGGCTCGAGAAAGAATTTTCTAGGTATTCCAGGTTTTTTCGATTTTTTTTTTTCTAATTATGATTTTGAATAAAAATCCGCGGTCCAGCCAGAATCGATGAGTTATTGTTATAGACAGTCCAAGTTCGATCTTTCCGGCGCTCATATTACAAACTGCGGATTCTTATGCGTTTTCGGGAAATTTAAAGACACGGAATCGCGCAGAGAGCGCGTAATACGAAAGAATATATGAAACATTCAAAGTATTATATTTTATTATAACATTCGGTACGAGAAACATACCGTTTTCATGTCTTTTTCCCATCAGCGAAACCAAATCTTATAATAAGTATCTTGGAATATTCATAACAATACTGAGTGTTCTGTAAATTATAATAAATGCAAATAATTCAATACTTCCTCAATCCGTTTTAATTATTCACTGGTATAGGTATTTTTTGAAAAGTGAAAGAAAAATATCTGTGCGATCGTTTAATTTAAATTGTCAAATTATTTTCTTTTATGAAACCTTGTTTACATCCGCTACAGTTAAACAAATTTCACGTGGCACGCAAATTGAGATGGCCGGTTCATCAAGCGAATTAATAAATTAATAAACTGCAACGCAATGAAATGTTACGTAAACGTTACGTTACAATTTATACTGATAAGTAAAATACATTTCCTTTTATTACATCGCAGAAGCTGATTGCAGGAGTTCGTTCCCCAGTTCGTTTCGATTTTTTCAATTATATTTGTGAAAGTATGACTTCGCATAAAAAATCCGCAGTCCAATCACAACGGACGAGTTATTGTAACAGGCAGTTCGAAGTTCGCTCGCATTGCAAACCAGCAATTTACATGATTCACCGCGTGAATCGCGGGTAGTTTAGAATTTATGTCGAAAGATAAAAGTAACGCAAGAGAAACGGTAAAAAAAAAAAAGAAGCGGGACTCGCGTTAATGAGCAAAGTTCTCAGCGTTGTCAACGCGGAAGGCGAGCCTGAACGGTCTAATTATTACTGACGAACGATTCTTCGTAATCCAGGCCGCGCATGCGCTCGATCGTTACTGTCCCACGTCGTGTCATTCACCATCATTCTCGTTTACTTTTCCTTCCTTGCTGTTTTATTTCATCTTTTCATTCTCTCTTTTTTTCTCCACCCTCTTTCTCGCTCATCCACGCGGCCATTCACGCGTCACTCGACTTTTGTTCGTTCACCAAGCCGATTTGCATCACGCAACTGCACGGTTCCAATACGCGCGCGTGCACACGTCTAACCTTGTCGCACTAACGCACTTTTCTCTTCTGCACACTCCCTCGCACGCGCAGCCCTGTCCAGGCCCATTTACTTCACAGGTACGTAACATTGTGTGTTGCACTCGTTGTCTGTATTTTGTCATCTCACAATCAGATTCAGCATACATACGTACATATATACACATACATGCATACATACATACATACACGATCTTTGTATGTTTATCTGTTCACGCACACATTAGTTAACCGGCACTTTGGAATACAATTGACTTGAAACGTTTAAAAGTTCTGGTCAATTTTGCACGTCGAGTCTTCCAAATTTCATAAATCCATGTTTGAGACATTTGAAATATTCAGAAATCGTTTTTAAAATCATGAGAATCTTATCGCAGACAATTATCACTTGGCTTAAACGGGCGTTAAAGCTGTCTCGTACAACACGAGAAAAATTGAAAAAAGAAAAAAAGAAGACTCAAACACGTCCGTGGAATTAATCCGGTGGTAGAACGTACCTGATATATGTAATATCCTGGAAGTAAATTATTTGCAAGTATTCGCAAAGCATATGCAGATGGAATTATAGAGGGAGCAGGAAGGGAGCAAGTTGCGATCGCTAAGTTAATAGATTTTAATCCAGATGGCTGAAGAGCGAAATTCCATTATCCAGCGTCGGAGTTGCCGCAAACCAAGTTACACAAGCTTCGCGAAAGCGTAATAAACCACCGTATTGCAGTTAACCTTGATTTACAATAATGCGCGCCGTAACATTAACAACCCCTAATGGTTATACATTGCCCCAATTATATATATGCTTAACGCGTTATCGATTTGCCGCGTCATCGTCCCTTATTGCCAGCAGTTTCTATTATCCTCGCGTGTTCTTACAAGATACACGGATATCGCGCGTTCGCAAGTTGCAATTTTCCCTCGGGGATAAGTACGATTAATTTCGTTATCGAAATTAATCTCTTTGCCAATCCAGTCCAACTCTTTATATTGCGTTCTACGGGAAATTTTTATTACACGTGTATGTACAAGTTGATTCGCGTGACTTGCACGCATGAAATAATTTTTAAACTATTCTCGAGACAAATTGATTATTAGGATCAATGTGGCTTTCACTTGGAATTTTACGTCCTTTCGATTCACGATGGTCTAATTGAAAAAAATAAAGAGGATCTTGAAAATTTCCTCACAGTGTGTTTATCTTTTTTAAAATCGTACAACTTTCGTACTCATTAGACGCGTAATTTAAAAATTTTTTTTCAGGCGTGAATCGCCCTACACTACAGAGTTGAGTGAAGTATTATTTGGTCATTTCTAGCGAAAAGCGATCATTGATCACAAACGTTTCTCAAAAATTCAAAGAAGAAAGAAAAACTGCAAGGACTTAAAAACTTCGACTCCGCGTTATCCCGCAAATATCTTTCGCGAGCAAGGTCTTACTAAGTTATTATATATCATTTAAGCCAGTATTATTTAATCATTTCTAACGATCATTGATCACAAATGTTTCTCAAAAATTCAAAAAAAAGAGCTTGAAAGTAATCTAGAAGAAACAAAAGCTGCAAGGATTTAAAAATTTCGAGTTTAAAAACTACGACTCCGCGTCGTCTCCCAAATAACTTTCTCGAGCAAGGTCATTCGAGTTACATTATTGAAGAAGAATCTCGATATTCGTCAGGGAGATGGACAGCGGCAGTGGAGCAAGGTCTTACTAAGTTATATATCATTTAAGCCAGTATTATTTAATCATTTCTAACGATCATTGATCACAAATGTTTCTCAAAAATTCAAAAAAAAGAGCTTGAAAGTAATCTAGAAGAAACAAAAGCTGCAAGGATTTAAAAATTTCGAGTTTAAAAACTACGACTCCGCGTCGTCTCCCAAATAACTTTCTCGA